CCAAAAACTGTAAACAGCCAAAATGTTGTTTTAATAGGTGACGTTAATATGTGAATGGCTAAAAAAATAAAAAAATAAAAAAAACCTATGGTATATCCAGTATCACTGAATACTCAGAATTAAAAAAGAATGAACTATTGCTAAGCTGCAATAATGTGGATGGTTCTTGAGGGTATCGTGCTGCCTGAAACAAACCAATCTGAAAAAGTTACATACTGTGTGATTCTACTCATATAACATAGAAAATTACAGAGTCAGAGAACAGATCGGTGGCCACCTGGTTAGGGATGAGGGTGGAGGGAAGGTGGGTGTCACTATGAAAGAATAGCACCAGGGAACTTTGTGGTGATAGGACGAATAGACCTACTAGCTTAATTGAGGTGGTAGTTACACAAGTCTACACGTGTAATAAAATGGCATAGAACAATCAACACATACATTATACCAATGCCAAGTTCCTGGTTTCGATATTGTGCTATATTTAAATAAGATGTAACCATTGAAGGAGGCTGGTGAAGGGTACACAGAACCTATCTGTACTACCCTTGCAACTTCATGTTGATCTACAATGACTTCAAAATAAAAAGTTAAAAACAAATAATATTGTGTATAACATAAATGATCCACTATCTCTGCAACGCTCTCAGGGCAAATGCAGCTTAAAAGCCTGGGAAAGGGCCAGCCAAGTGGCTCAGTTGGTTAAGAGCTCGCTCAAGAGTGTGAGCTCTGAGCAACAGCAGTTCGAGTCCTGGCCCGAGCTGAGCTGCTGCTNTGAGGGAACACGACAATAAAATGAAATGTGGTATCCTAGATTGGGTCCTGGACCAGGAAAAGGACATTAATAGGAAAACTGGCAACATTTCAATAAGGTCTTAGAGTTAAGCGTGTTAATTTCCTTTTTTATAATTATTTCACTATGGATACAAAAGATGTTAAAATTACTGGAAGGTGGTTGAAGGGTATACAGGAGCTCTCTATTATTTTTGCAACTTTTCTGTCTAAAATTATTTCAAGATAAAAAGTGCAGGAGTGGCTGGTTAGCTCAGGTGGTTAGAGCGCAGGCTCACGATACTAAGGTTGCCAGTTCGATTCCCACATGAGCCACAGAGCTGCGCCCTCCACAACTACACTGAAGACAACTACTTGACTTGGACCTGATGGGTCCTGCAAAAACACACTCTTCTGCAATAAAATTTCTTTAAAAAAAAAAGAGTGTAAAAAGAACCTTGAAGACATTATGCTAAGTGAAATAAACCAGATACAAAAGGACGAATACCGTATGATTCCACTTATATGAGGTCCCTAGAGTAGTCAGATTCATAGAGACAGGAAGTAGAACAGTGGTTACCAGGGGCTGTTTATTGTTTACTGGATACAGAGTTTCAGTTTAGGATGATGAAAAAGGTCTGGAGATGAATAGTGGTGATGGTGGCACAACAATGGGAATGTGCTCAATGCTACTGAACTGTACACTTAAAAATGGTTACAATGGTACGTTTTATAAGTTATGTATACTTTACCACCACAACAAAAAAGTTTAAGAAAGGGTTTTTAAAAACCCTGCACACTAGGTCATCAGCTTTATTTCTAATTGCCAAAACTTGGAAACATCCAAGTTGTCCTTCGGTAGGTGAACGGATAAATAAACTGTACTATATCCATACAATGGAGTATTAGTCAGTGATTTAAAAAAAGCAATGAGAGATAGAGAAAAGGCCATGTGAGGACACAGCAGAAGGCAGCATTCGCCCGCCAAGGAGAGGGGCCTTAGGAGAAACCTAGCCTGTCAACATCTTGATCTTGGACTTCCACACTCCAGAATTGTAAGAAAATAAATTTCAGTTGTTTAATTTAACAACAACAACAACAACAAAATGAGATTTCAAGGCAGGAAAAGGAATAGAGAAATCTTAAATGCATATCACTTGATGAAAAAAGCCACTGTAAAGGCTACATATGGTATGATTCCAGCAATATGACATCCTGGAAAAGGCAAAACTATGGAGACAGTAAAAAGATCAGTGGTTTCCAGGGGTTAGGGAGGGAGGGATGAAGAGGCAGAGCACAGAGAATTTTTAGAACAGGGAAACTGCATATATGATGCTATAACAGTGGATACATGACATTATACAACAGTCTAAACCTGCATAACTGCCCGACACGAAGAATGAACCCAATGAATACTATAGACTTTAGTTAATAATATACCAATATTCATTCATTGATTTGAATAAATGTACCACACTAATGCAAGACGTTAATAATAGGGCAGATTCTGGGGGTCGGGGAGGGGGGGTGGAGAGTACATGCGGGCTCTCTGTACTTTCTACTTAATTTTTCTGTAAACCTAACAGTGCTCTAAAAAATAACATCTATTAGATCTACACTATATTGAGACTAAACCAGGGGTCAAACGTAGTAACAGGAATAGCTATTCGAGGCTGCTATAAATACCCAGGCAAGAATATTTGGCTGTCCATCTGGAGGGAAGCGGTGAGGGTGAAGAGAAATATATTAACCACAAAAGGGCAGGTGGGGAGCCCTGGGCTACAGGAAGCCCAACTGGCCCTACTGCCTGCTGGCCCTGTGAGTTGGACTGCTGACCTGGACAAGGCCCCCCCTGGGACATATCAGATGATGCCTAGACCAGTGTGGTCCAGCTCTCAGCAAAGACTCCCACAGCAAGATTCCCAGCCCAGGACCAAACCCCTTCCCCAGTGCCACACCAGCCATTCCTCAGAGAGAACTCCCAAAGAAGAAGCCCCCATCACTAGGGAGAAGGTGACCAGTAAAAGTCACACAGAACTGCAGCTAGGAGGAATCAGCATGGTAGGGAGATCAGCCAACTGCAGCGATGATCCCCATTAAGAGATAACCTGGGCATAGCCATGAAACTTGGGGCAGTTCCCACATTCTCCTCAGCATCGGTGTTTCCACAAACATGTGACTGATGCCAAAGAAACTTGTACGATGCCAGTATGGCCAGGGGCAGAGGCTTGTCGGTCACTGAAGGGCCGACAAAGGCAAACTCCCAGAGAGCAGAGCTGTCCAAAGAGGCAGGAATGCCTGGGATACCAAAGTAAAGACTTATTTCCTTTCCTCTTGTCCTTCTGTAGTCCCAGATTGTAAAGCAGTCACAGCAGCAAAGAAGTTATTCCCAGTATCTAAAGGGCACTCTACGTCTAGCTGGGATTAGTCCGAAAGAAGAGAAAGGG